CCCCAGTGTCACCAGGTTATGAGGCTGTCAAGACCACAAACTTGTTTCTGGATTATCAGCCATCCATAATAGCACGTCCCCAAAACGCAAACGATGTGGCTACATTGATCAAACCATGTGTGGCCAATGATACCTCGTTCGTCATCCGCACAGGTGGCCATGATGTTCACGGCCATTCCACCAGATCCAACATTTTGCAAATCGACATGCGGGACATCAATTACATAGAGCCTGAGCCGAGCAAGAAAATCGCCCGAGGGTGGCGGCATTCTTGACGAAACCCGGTTGGAGGAATTGGCCAAGCATGACTTAGTAACCTCCACGGGCAATGTTGGCACCGTGGGTTATGTAAGCTGGGCAACATTGGGAGCGTATGGGCCTTTGTCGCCCCGTATGGGGTATGGAGTTGATCACATTGTGGGAGCGAGAGTCGTAAACGCTGAGGGGGAAGTTCGAAGCGAATGAGAGGATGCTGGAAGTCGTAAGGGGCGGAGGTGGGAATTTGGGCGTTGTCGTTGAATTAACGATCAAGGTCTACCCAGCACATGACGTTTGTCCCTTTCACGGTTTATATCAAACAATACTAACGAGGTATACTTAGATCCAAGGGGGGTATGATCATATTCGACTCCAGCAGCCTGTGCAGCACGGCTCAGACATATTGGACCAACTTCAACAATCTTCTAGAGTCAACCGATATCCCCGATAATCTTGGCCTTCATCCAACTATTCTCTATATTCCAAATCTCGGTAATGTATTCGGCATCCCTTTCATCTGGGCTGGTCCGCTCGATGATCGTGCCAAGGATTGGCAGGAGAAGGTTTCAAGCTTAGCACCTGTCAAGATTTCAACTGTGCAAACGATTTCATTCGCTGCACTCGTCACCGAAATAACGCCCATGGTACCAAAATTTGTGCACGCAGGCAAGTGTCGGACTCTGAGCCTTCGAGTTCTTGGACTTTCCAATTCGGCGGTTGAGATCGTCGCCAAGCATGCTAAGCTGCAGCCCCAATCGGGAGCCATGTGTACTTTCCACTCGATACGTGGAATTTTACGAACTTGCAACCATTTCCAAACGTCTTTCGGAATCGGGAGGCGCATCATGTTCTCGAGATAGTAGGACTGAGTGCGTCTCCGGAAGGTGCGGATAGATTTCTACTTCGCCTGATGCGCGTCGCGTATCAGGAATATTAAAGTTAAGTAGTGGTCACGAGTTCATCGCTTTATCGCCTTATCAGTGGGTCTCTGAGTTGAATCCTCATATTAGGAAAGACCAATTGTCTCGGTTTTCAACGCGTCGATATTGCCGACTTGAGCGTGTTGTTGAGCGTGTTGTTACGTGTCTGTCGAGTTATTGCCAATTATCTGACCCTTTGTGGAAATTTTGGTCGCAAATTGGCTGTCTAGGACGGGGGAAATCACAGATCCGGATTGTTGGGTGAGTTGTTCTGAATGTCCGCAGAGATACAGCGTCGGGGCTTCGTCAGGGAAAGGCGGGTCTAGGTGACGCAGCACAAAGACTAGGATATGCGAATAACATAGCTCCGCTCTCGTTGGGAATGGTCGCCTCGATATTTGCCATGTCAAGCAGCACGGAGGGGATTTTATGCAATCCTTGCCGCAGAGCTCAATGGAATCGATTTTTACCCTCCCTCCCTCCCACATGCACATTGGTCCGAATATGACCAGTCCGATGTACGCATACAATATGAGGACTTGTGGAGTTGACGCCGAAAATGGCCGCTTCTAAGGTCAGAAACGGCGGCCTTTCCAAAACCCAGAGCGAGCAGCCGCTTGACCGCCTATTACTTTGTGGCACGACTATTCTGCACCCGCGCAGCACTTTGTCACCGCCCTTGACTTTGGCAAGCGGTTCTCATTGTTTCGACTCTAGGCCAAATGACGCTATAAATGGGCTCCCCTCTGCAGCCAAATCCAGCACACGTCCCTTTTTGCCTAGCCTAGTCGCACGCGTACACAATGGGGTCTTTCCCCCTTTTCCTTTTATTTTTTTTCATACCCTTCCGCGATTTGGGTGCATGGTGGGTCGTTGAAGTGAGGGAGCTACCGCGTTAGGGCGCGATCGCGTTTTCTGACTTACTCGCTTACAGATTACGTTATGACTCGGACACTTGTTCTTCCGCTGGGTAATCTCCAATGAGCGTGTCACTATCTCAAGGTCGGGCACCAAGATAGGTTTGGGGTGAAATGAGTTATTGTAATAAATAGCTACACGCTGGACCACTTTCGCAGGTGGCGCTAACAACGTTGCTGTCCTCTAAGAAGCCTATTGAATTCTCTTGCTTAATCTATCTATAAGCCTCTTCAATATGGTTACACCGAGACCAGACTATATCCAATTTAAGATCCTCCCGGCCATAGGGGAAGATTGCTTCGCTCTAGCGCAGGTGGAATCCATCGCCAATGATGAGGCAAACAAAGCTAGAGAAGGGGAAAATATCTCGCGCGTCATTTTTGGCACTCCTAGCGAAGTAAGCCAGTCCTTCCGGGCGAAAGGTCTCATCGATAAGATGAAAAACGACCCATACGTGCGAAACTACAAGGCAGTGGTTGAGGAAAACGGTCAGCAAAAGATTGTCGGCTGGGCCAATTGGTCATTCTTCAATGAACCTCAACCTATCGAATTCAAGGAGATTGAATGGCCCACAGGAGTAAATTCCAAGGCCTGCAACGAGTTCATCGGCACCCTGACGGCTATAAGGGAAAAATATATGTCTGGAAAGACATATGGCTGTAAGTGCATTTATTTAAGTTGTGATATTCATGTCTAAATGGCAGACAGTCTTGCAAGTTCTCGCCACGCTGCCTCAATATCGTGGCCATGGCATCGGCTCTGCTCTCATTAAGCTTGGTCTTGCCGAGGCTTGTAAGGTAGGTTTGATTGAGTTCTACCTTGAAGCTTCTGATGATGGTCATGATCTCTATGAGAAGTTCGGTTTCGTGGACGTTGAGCATATCCCGGTGGATCTCAAACAGTATGGCGGAGATTGCCAGGCTCAAGTAACGGCAATGAGAATATTCCCAAATTGAGTCGATTTTTGCAGTTACATCTGATGAATATTATTCCTACATTATTGCCACTGCTCTCTATTCTTGATATCAGTTTCCCTTAAATGCATATGAACATGAGTGACGTGCGATTCAAGAAAGCTGGTTGCTCTAAAAAGGAAGAGAGAAAAAAGAAGAGCGGGGGTGGATAGAGGCAAATTCGACCGCTGTCGTCATTGCTTCCCGAGTGAAATGGTGAGCTGAGATATGCTTGACGGGCAGTCAAAATCAATCACCTCAATAGTTAAGGCGATGAATTAGAGTGTTGGGATTGTTATGATGCGTAATGAATATTCATCACTCCGATTGATTTTTGAAGTGAAGTAGTCTGTTAAGTTGTGTCTTTCGGAGTGGCTTTTCGTTTGGATGGTCTATCGACGAGGAGTATCATAGGTATCGCCACTACGACAATGATCCGATCGATGTTTGAATAGACTCATCTACCCTAACCCCTCACCGAAGTTGGTTTATCCAACTAGACCAAAATACGAATCCGTACCCAGTCTAGTAGGTTGTGGTTTATAATCAAGTTTCTTTTGCGAGGGGTCAGGGTAAATGAAATCATCCATCCGTCCATCCATACTGTATCCGTCTACTGTCACAGATAAAAGCAAGGCATTACTTACGAGCAATAGGATTTCACCAGAGATAATGAGGGCGCTAGGAAGATTGGGTCGAGAAGAGCCCCTCTGAAACAATACTCAAAAATTACATATAATTATTCAATCATCACCTTTGAGACATGCCCACAAAGGTTTTCAAGTTTTCGGCCAAAGGGAAGACGATCCTTTGATAGATTTCATCTTGCATATTCTCATCTTCCAAAGTGAGTCCTATTTTCCAGCGCCAAAAATGACATTGTTCCACAACATCACCGTATAGGAGGCCGCTCTGCGACTCCACACATTGAAGCAAATGAGCAGCTCTCTTGAAATTTGCATTAGCTTCATTGTCATCTAGGTCCTCTGTTGGACGGAGTAATATTCCACGAGGTTGCTTAGAAGTTTACTATATTATAACGATGACTCATTTACTACCGTTCATGCAAGACGATACAGTTTGATAGGGGTTTTTGTGGACATTAACTAGACTTGGACTGGCGTGTTTCAAGATAAGGTCTGAGAAACAATCTGTGAGTGTATCGGGGGGAGCTTTTTTCGAATATAGCAGTATATCAGTAATAAGGTTTCGTGAAACAATAGAGCATGTAGGTGGTGACATCAATTTCGAGACATACTATACTGTCCTGGAGTTCGAATAACTGAACTGTTCTTGGTATTATCTAAAGCGTCCTGATCTAATCATCATCTGTCTGCATTACATCGTGATCGCCGTGGGTGATTTGTTATCAATTGAACCCCAGAAAAGCCAAGCTAGATATCGTTGTAATGTAGTGTAAGAAGCGTATTGGCTTTGAGCATGCTGACAGTTGGAATGCCAAGGTTTGGAAATTTGATTAGCGCTGACAAGCACGTTTGTCACCCCTGGTTTCTAAACCCCCTCTTAAATCAGTCCAATAACCGGCCCATTCATTACAAAGCAGTTATATTTAACTATTAAGAGTGGATACGAAGACCTTTCGTCTTTAACATTGGTTAGTATCCAATGTACTGGCAGTTAGCTTGTTTTAGCATACTTCGTCTTCCCTTCTTTTAAAAGTGATCATCCAATGAATGAAAATATATCATATTAAGGCATGCGTCAGAAACATCCATAACCGGAATAAATACACAATAGAAAGAGGAGCATGGCAGGATTGGAGACACTTATGACCCCACACATAGCTCAAGATGGAGTGGTTTTGTCTGATTCTTGATCAAATATGAAGAGGGGTGGATCATGGAACGGGATCTTCGCAAACACATCCATCGTCCAAGCCTGGTATTCTTGATTGCCCTGAGCGAGGCCCAAGACCGTAGCCGCGATAGATTTAGGAAATATTGACCACGACCTTTCCCATGTGCTTCTGTTCAAATTGGTACTTGAATGCTGCAGGTAACTCCTGGAAAGAAAAGACAGCAGGGTCAATCACAGGATGGATGTTGTTGACCCCAATGGCACGAATCATCTCCTCAAATTGAGCTCGATTGCCCATTTCAATGCCGCGAACAACACACGTGCGAGAGAACGGCTCGAGGAGGGAGGGATGATCTTCACCTTTGTCCATTCCGGTTAGGAAACCAATAATAGCAACATGACCTCCAGGTGTAACAGCCTCCAGAGATTGCTTGATTGTGTTGTGTCCACCTACTTCAATGATGCGATGGCAACCTAGGCCTTGCGGAGACAGCTGTTTCGCTTTTCTTCCCCAGTTTCTTTCGTCGCGATAGTTGATGATGTGATGCGCTCCAATTTCCCTGAGGTTCTGTGCCTTGGTTTCCGAAGAGGTGGTAGCAATGACCGTAGCGCCAGCCGCTAGAGCGAACTGAATAGCGAACAAAGAGACACCGCCAGTCCCTTGGGTAAGAACACAGTCACCCGGCCTAAGGGTCTGCAATCCGTTCAGGCTGTTCCACACTGTAAGAGCGGCGAAAGAGTTGCCCCTTCCTGGAAATTGAGGTTGGGTGGGAGGTGCAGTAAGCCTTGCTCATCGAAAACACCAAATTGCCGAAATGTGCCATCAGCTGAGCCCCCCAAAGCCTTGTCTGCGATAGACTTGGTAGGGGCAGGGCCGCTGAAGAAGTCTTGATAGAAAGCCGTCACAACATGATCGCCCTTCTTGAAGCGGGAAACTCTAGATCCAACTGCAAGAACCTCACCAGCACCATCACTGCCAGCAACCACGCCTTCCTTTACCTTGCGAGGGTATGTGCCTTGACAGACTGTAACAATATCTCCTTAGAACACGACTTATATGCAGAATGCGCTCGGCTCTGAAGACTTACTGACGAGATCGCGGTAGTTCAGTCAGGCGGCCTGAAATTTCACCAGTACATCTGTTGGGCTTAACGATGATAGAGGCTTGGTCTTCTTTCCACTTCAGCGCACTTGTCCCTGCGCCAGGGCCAGTGCCATGCACGGCCCAGGTGCTGGTGGTGGTCGGTAGAGACATTGCGACAAGAAATTTGATATTGCGCCTGAGTATTCGCCGGACCGACAGAAGATGAACGGTGATATATTGGCAACAAATGGCACGACAATCATAAGCACCACCAAATGGCCCCCCTTTTATGCCACAAGTATGAACATATATTTAACTTTAAGCCGGCTCGCTCGTCGTAGTTTGACAAACGGATCCACTCTTTTTTCACATTTGTCTTTCCCCGAGTGACCACATTCTCATTAGGAATGCCAAGAGATGGGGTCACTTAAGATGGGATTGAACCAATCGGATAAATTCGGCTATCTCGCTCCCGCTTCGATCGCTTAGGTCGCCTACTCCATGGGGTAGCGCTAGTCTTCAAGACTTCACTGATCGGGGTAATTAGTAAGAACACAGGGGCCATGGCACATCATGCCTTAAAGTCAATTAAGGAGCCAATGAATAATTGAATTGCTAGCCATAAATACGTAAAGCCAAGGGAGTCAAAGGGTTTAAGCTCTTTGCTGAGTAATGGGTAGACTAGGTCATCGAATGATTTTAAAGCAAGTAAAGCATCTCTTTATTGATAATCCGAACAGTCAACGTGAGGGACCAGACACCGACAGCCCCTTTCGATCCATTTTCGCAGGTATATAAACCAGTCCGCTTTGTCTCCCAGATCCTCGCTCTTCTTTAATCACGAAGCATATCACCCATCCCACGTTTCCAACTACGACCCTGTTTAAGCGCAAGAAACATGTCGCCCAGAGCTGTTGACAAATCAATGCCGTACTTCCCTCTAGCTGGAGGTGCTGATGATGGCTGGTCCACGGAGGATGAAGCGACCGCCACATGCTTTTGCGGTGCAGTGCAACTGTCATTCGTAAGTCGTGTATTTCGAACCTACTGTCATTTCTGCTCGGCTCTAACAGCTGTATCAACCTTCTAGCCAACCCATGGAGCTGGCTATGTTGGCTCTTTCGTCTGCAATTGCTCCGACTGTCACAAGCTTACCGCATCTATGCATGCAACTAATTTCACGGTCTATGATACGCACTTGAAGCATTTGCGTGGCCGCGATAATCTAAAGAGGTACAGCCAGTCGCGCACTGTTTTTGTGAAAGAGCCGGGCAAAGAAAACACCATGACCAACTACTTTTGTTCCACATGTGGCTCGCTCATGTACCGTGTCGGTGCAGCTTTCCCCGGCATGAGTATTCTGCGTGTTGGCAGCGTGGATGACTTCTCGTTGCACGAGACTAAATTGAGACCCACAATGGAGCAGTTTACCAAGGACCGCGTTGCCTGGAAAGCTCCTACAGAAGGTGCAAAGCAATTTGTGGAGGATGGCCTTCATGTATAGTAGCCTAAGTGTGTACCAAGACTCTCCAACTTCCAGTTTCAATATTTACTATTGGCTGAAAACCATTCGTGGTGGCATAAATTGCTGATTTAGCATTTCTTCTTTGATTCCCAAACCTGGTCCGAAATATAACTAAATCCGAAATGACACCTGTATCTGAAAGTTTACATGGATGGTACTAACCAAGAATATATGAAGACCAATGTGAACATCAATGCCTCTCGTTCGCTCAACTACAGTACCGCGGCAGAATTTCATCACCGAATACCTCCTGCTGCGCATGTCTGGTAATAACTACGCGCCGAAACAACAAGTTATGCCCATCAAATGCATCGTGTGGGTCGATGTCATCATGAGGAATGTTTCGTCATTGACGCGCATGTATATAGTAAACTGATTCGTGAAATGAGTTGCAACTGGTCCTAGATAAGCACGGCCCCACGGCTTGGCCATCGTGATCAGCATGGGTACTGTCCTTTCTTTATTGCTCTTCAAACATTCATCCATTGATTGGGTTTTCATGACTGGCAAAAGTAAAATAGCATACACGAAAAAACTTGGTTTTATTCCGTTTTTCCTCATCTTACTGGAAAACGCGAGGCACCAATCCTGAGCTGCCTCTGACGTGCAGAACGTCCGGAAAAGGAAACTCACCTCCGAGCCAAACCGTCGTTTGCGACTTCCCGCAGCTCGCATTACGTAAGGTGACAGTCTGTTGCGATGCCAAGGCCCGGGACAGCTGGCACTGACTGACGCAGGTGGCGGGCAACTTGAAGCTATTTTGGATGAAACTTCTTTTTGGCAAGTTGACCACTGGGCGGAAATATGTACACAGTTTCGCTTTTCTATAAGGTAAATAAGCTTTCTAAAATCCGACCAACCTACCTACATTCTAAGGAATGGCTAACCAGAAGAGAACAGGCGGGAGAAGAGGGAGCTTGGCTGAAAAATAACATGGCTTTCTTCAGAAAGCAAATTGACGATTATGACGATGATGATTTCAAAAATATGCTGAAAGAGATTGAAGAGAGAGAGGAATTGAACAAATTGATCAAATAGGTGATCAGGTAGGTGCCTGAGGTGTCGGCGTCCACCGCCGCTTGTAAATAGACCTTTCCTTCTGGAAGATCACTTAGTCAATACAACTCACTCCATTCGTTGCCTCTCCCTCATGATCTCCATGATCAGGTCTCTGGGTTGGCTCTCCGATTCTCCCTGAGTCTCACCGCCATCATATTCTAATGTATCTGAAGTTGAATCCAACAACTCTCGCTGTCAATGCACGACAAATTCGCTTCGTTAAACTCATTTTAACGCAGCACCGCAAAGCCCCCCGAATTCTACCGGTAGCGACATTCAAGCTATAAGAATTGGTGAAATTGCCTATTGGAATGAAGTTCGGCTTCAGATCGTCAAGACTTATCGCAGGACCCATTCAGTTTCAATAATATACTTGGTAATCCTCCTATCCCGGCTAGTGCCATTGGAAATTTCGATATTCTTTTCGATAATTTTTTGTTTCACATTCCCTGGACTTCCGACCGAATATCACTCGGGTCTCGACGGATTCAGCTACGGGTTTAGTCAAAATATGGGCCCTATCTGATCGCCTTTGCTTAATTTGATATATTCCATCTATGACCGCTCAATTGAATACTTGGTCCTTTTACCCTATTGCGTCCGAATATCTGTCTTTTGCGTGGTGTCGGATATTGGAGAAAACAACGATTGGAGCACGAGGTTTATTTAGACGAAATGAAGTTCATTCCAAGTGGCGTAACTGATGGGGAAAGAGGAAGATATATGTATCAAGCAAGACCATATCAAACTCTTTCTAGATACCGATCCACCAAGAAATAAAGTTGAGCTGATTAACTACATGATTCCAAGCGCAATCTAGAAATTGCTTAGGGTTCTGAGAGCGCGTCGCTATTCACCGTGTATGGAATTTCGAACACACAAGTACGTGGTTATACCAATAACAAAGGAGATAGGCTAAAATGATTATTGCATGAAACGGCAAGCTAGTCGTCTAACTAAATGACCAAGATTTCCAGTAAATTCATCATGGATCAGTAGGCCCAAGTTGCTCGTAACAGGGCGGAGACTCTGAAAATCGAAAGCAGATTGGAACCGCTCCGCAATTTGATACTGGATGATCCAAGGCACCAATCTCAGGTAAGTTCGCGAAAATGAGATCCGAAGTGTGTTTACCATAAGATGGAGGAGGACTTCCGTGGGTTACTAAAAGATTAAAATCCTGACCAGGAACGATGGCACTTTGCTCAATCACACTGGCTGCCATGTGAATGTTGAATGATATTTCTTTCATGACCTGGACCAGAGTTTAGTTGCAAGATCTCGAATACTGAGCAGATTTGCACACCTTGGTTGATACTAGGCCTTGCCCGTCTTGGAAATCGGCGATTATTACCAGAGCATGTCCAATTTTGATATTTTGAGTCGAAATACTCTGTGAACAGTGCTGCAAGCTCTTTGGTAGAGAAACTGGCTGTTTGATACGCCACTCAGTCTCTGCAGAACTAGCTTCGTCGGTGACATCTTCTTTCTGTGTGAAAACTGTATGGTTCTTTGCTGAGGTGACATAACGAATATTATCCCGTACTGACTCTCTTGCGGTGGCATCGAATCGCAAGTAGTGCTTTTCAATAACTTCGATTGTGAGAGCACAAAGTTTGATGCTTTTCGACAGTGGCGCAAACCAGCATTCCACAAGGAAAGTGCTGCCGAAAGGAATATTTTGATCCGGCATAGAAATGCTATACTGAATATTTTGAGAGAAAAGACCCTCGACAGCCTAGCAATCAAATATTAGTTTAGTCTACCTTGTAGACAAGTGTGTACGTCCGTACCATTGGGAAGCTTTGTGTCATGTTGACCATATCCGGATTAGGAGTGCTGTAAAGTTTTACCGGTCGCGAAACGATTAAATCTTTCCTGAAGCGACGCTCCAACACGGCTTCTACTCGATAGGTGTGGTATTCATGGTTCGGACCTGTTATTGTTTCCAAGATGTTACTCGACAGCGGAATTGTAAATGGAAATTCGTAATCTCCAGCAGCCATTTGGAAAGAATCAAGAGTCTTGGATGATGCAAGCATCTGATGTCGTTCGAAAGTGAGCTGCTCCCGGCCGTCTGATATGAAGAAGTCGTCCGGTGGACTAAAATTCAAAACTTGAGCAAAGAAAACTCATCACGTCATTGTGAGATGCTCTTACATTCTCATGATTCCTCTAGTTCTCACTTTGATGCTTCTGAACCAAGCGGCACGAGAGAGACAGATGTGAAATTTTCCAGTAATCTCAGGCACATTTTCTGGATCCCGCACGTGCGGAAAGAATATGCAGGATCTCTCCAGACTACGACGAGAATATATGTTAGTAAGCCTCTGTATTGATGGTAATACTGGGCCAAACCTCAAATCATAGCTTGCTATGTCTCCTTTCCAAACCATTAAGGCGGTGGTAACCCAACTTTTTGAAGAATCAAACATTAATGCACTCTCTTTGCACGCTTTAAAACTGCTTAATTGCGAATCTTGGTCTCTTTTATTGTTTAAAAAGGATGTTGCCACCTTCTGCGGACTTGCCTAAACGGGCCAGAGTGCGACAAGTGAACTTTGCCGCTCTCATTAATTTGCGCGCTAGTCACACTAGCCGGACCAGAAAGAGAGTTACGTGGATTAAAGTTTCCTGAGGGCAATCGAGAAAAGGCTAATAAGCTGTCAAGTCCATTAGGAATGGCGGACAGGACGAGATCGAATTCTCATATAGCATACGCCAAAAGGTAGAACAGTATGACAGTTGAAAAGTTCAGGACAAAAGAAGGAGATCGAATAGGACATTAAATGCAAAGAACGCTGCACTTGATTTGCACGCAACATGGTTGTATTTTCTACCATTATGTAGAAGTTGAGATTAATTACGTTATGAAATAATATTCACGTTCTCACAGTGGTGGATACACATAAACAATTAAGCGTCACCGCCCGCGGAGCGGAAGCTTACCATAACAGGCAATAAATTTACGGGGAGCGGTCTTTGATGTAATAGGAAATTCCCGACTTGGGAGTAATCCGTATAAATTGGGCCGAAAGTGTCGGTTTTGAGACTTGCTGACCCATTTCTCTAAATCTGTCCGAATCTTTCAACACATTTCATCGATTTTATATTATCCCACTGCAGTATTCTCCCAAGCATCTTCCATCATGCTAACATCTCAATTTGCCGTTTATCCAACTCTCCGCAAAAGAATTGTGATCATCTCAGGCGGCGCAACCGGTATCGGTGGCGCAATGGTTGAAGCATTTGCCAATCAGGGTGCCCAGGTCGTCATACTCGACATCCTTACGAAAGCCGCGTGTCAGCTTATCGAGAAACTCGAAAAGGCTGGTGTCACCTACCCACCTATCTTCATGCATTGTGACGTGACAGACATTGAGGGCGATGTTAAGTCCGTTTCTGCCTCGCTTTTGGAACTCTACCCTCAAATTGATGTCCTCATTAACAATGCCGCCAACGATAAACGCCAGAAATCGGGCGATATTACGTTGGATTTGTGGGAGAAAGGTCTCGCTACCAATCTCCGCCATCATTTTTTTATCACCCAGGCACTCCTGCCAGCTTTCAGCGAGACTTCCTCGGTCATCAACATGGGCAGTGTTGCTTGGGCTACTCCTCTGACCGATATGGCACCATATGTTGTCAGCAAGTCCGCCATTGTTGGACTCACAAAAACATTAGCCCATGAGCTCGGTCTGAGGGGTATTCGGGTCAACAGTATCATGCCAGGAGCAATTGCGACAGAGAGACAAAAAAGAGATATAATTACCCCAGAGTACGAAAAGAGCTTGCTGGAACGTCAGGCCCTTAAAAGGATTCTGAAGCCGTCTGATGTTTCAAACCTCGCATTGTGGCTTTCTGCTGCGGATGGCTCTGGCATGACTGGACAGAGCATTGTTATTGATGGAGGGTGGCTATAACTGAAGTTAACGCGCCGGAGTACCAAGAAAGGTATATTTAGACAACATCATAACCCGCACAGTTGCGGGTTAAAATGGCGACCTTAACCCGACCCGAGCTCTGTTCTCTTAGTTGTTTACCTTACTGGCTCCAGACAATGGTCAATTTGAAATGATTTTTCTAACCTTGGTTCTTGGATAAAAATATTACTACAAACGAATCTATTTGTCTGTCAGAATCTGACGGACTTTATGAGGCCTTTGGGTCTTCCACTACCAAACATATGAAATTTTCCCTTTTCTCCAACACCGTCATTCAGGCTATTCGATCTCGCCAAGATATCCAGCCCCTGATCGCGATTAGGAATATTCTTAAGCCCCACAGCATCCCAAGCTATTGAAAACGGTCCAGATAACTTAGATCGGATCGTGAACCATCTTCTCCTACCAAATCAGTAGTAGATGTCGTAGAGCGAGAAGATCTCACGGACGTGAGACGTCGGCTCTTCATATGGTGTGCTATTGGATAAATCCACTGACAGTGCAGGAAGCTTCCCCTCTACCTGCATCAGCTCTTAAATATTCTGAAGAAAGAAAAAGACAACAGAATTCCCGAGGTAGACCATCATTGGCAAATTTTAGTGACATTGATATTTTTGATGATAGAGAAGCCAGTTCGTGATCACGTACGACTTCTCTGATTGGTGTTGTTTAGGTTACAAGGAATATATGAAAGAGCAACATATGTTGCGGGAAAGTTGTCTTTTGCACCCTGAGCAACAGGGATACGTTGACTCGAGCTGTCAAAGTGGATATGCACAGTTGATCTGCTCATAGGACTTGCTTGGCGACGATGACACTGACGACCGTATGAACTTATATGAGAAGAGTAATTGCACGGGCTCGATCGCTCCCGCTTGATGCGTTGTCCACATGGACGTAAGGCATCACATTTCAGGACTGGATATAGAGAGGCTTTTGCGATCCGTCGCCGGGACTGCTCTGAGACTTTTGGATGAGGCACAGTCTCGAAGCGGAAGCCGATCCGTGTAGCCAAAAAGGAAATGAAGAGCGAACTCCCGCTGGCCGATGGCATGGGTGGATAGCGTTCGGGCAGACAGGGATTCCGCCGGGTGCCACTCTACTAGCTGAACTAGGCTAAGAGCTGACTCAGCGTGGTCGTGCCCAGGGCACGTGATCGTTGTGAAGATAGTGCTTCAACATTATCATGCAGATAGCTGGGACTTTTCTTTCTTCTTCTTTCCTTCTCCAACTTGGGAAGTCCCGTCGTCATTGGCACATCAAATTGACTATTTCTTCATTTTCTTTCATGATGTGCCTGCCTGGTCACAAGCAGTAGACAAACAGAATTATTGGTTACGTCATGTGACGAACTTTTATGGGAAAAACAAAGCTAAGCTGCGCGTATTTGGGAAGCATGACTCTATGGAGGCTAGGCTGAGCTTATTGCCAATCCGGCGTCCAGAATCGGGTCGACGATAAAAACTTTGAAACAGGCACGTGCTCCCGAACGCCACTCAAATAAGTGGGACGTTTTCGGTTAAAGACCCCGCATTGGTACGTTCAGCTGGGACTATTTCCACATCTGGATAGCTTGAGGAAAGAAGTCTGAAGCTTTTTTGAATACAAATCTCATTGGTCACAACGACGATAACAGTTCTGCTTTTGTGGCTTTCGGGTTTTCAGCATTCGGGCAAGATGGAAACCAACTCCCAATCGGATCTCTAGGCTGTTCATTTCAAGATTGAACCTAGGTTTGCTGTATTGATTCTACAGAAAGATGGCCCGTCGACCTAGCGAGGCTTTCAAAGAATCATAGACGTTACAGGGCGAACCTATCGCCCCCCCAGACCATGTGTAGTTTCAAGACCATATAAATGAACCGCGTCCTGGCCCCGGACACATCATGTTCACTTCCTGTCGATCCCTTCAGAACGAGTATTTTCCGCCATGGAGATAAGTCAAATGAATAATCCCATGTTTTGGCTACCGCCGCAGCCCATCGATTCTTGGCTACCATACAACCAGAATGTTAGAAATCCTTTTATTAATACAAATGATGTGTGGTCGCTGAACTGCCTCTAGGACGATAAAGATCCTTTTGATCTTATCACGGACCAATCATTCCTCACTACAGCGATCTCTGATATTGGTCAGAAGTGTGAAACCCCAAGACCGAGCTCTCCTACAGATCCGAAAGCCCCGCCAAAGTGAGCAAAATAGCCACAAATTTGCTTTATTACATAGCAACAAATGACCCATTTTGGTGCCTTTGCAGGAATACCGATCAAGTTGAGAGCCATAACAAGGCTCGCCCAGTGCAGGAAAATTCGACTGAAAATACCCCCGGCTTTCCAGCCAACGCGAAGAAGAAATGGCAAGCTTCTCAGATTCACAGGCAGACCGTCAAATCTCAAAATATCAATCAAACCACGAGCCTGGATAGAAAAAGGATCCAAAACCGATTAGCGTACGTGGTACGATGCCTAGTGAAGACAAAACACCGCTAATAGTTGGTTCAGGCAAAAGACATTTCGCCAGCGAAAACAACAATACACAGAATCTTTGGAAAAACACGCGAAGGAACTAGAGGAGCAGCTCGGCCATCTTCGAGAACAGAATTGTGAACTCGAGCGGTCTTTGTCATCATACTGCCGGAATCAGAGTTTGAACTCACGAGGAAACTCCCTGTGTGTCATGTGTCGTCACATGATGAAGTTTTGGAACAATGGAATGGTGTGTCCGGGGCCAATTCCATCAGACTGCTGCAGTGAGTAATGAAACAGAAGTGAAAAAAGATTGAATATTTGGAAAGTTCGACCTCTACCGGAATACCAAAAACAATACTACAAAGAAGGGCTTACGGGAGCAGAAACAGGTTCCGTGAGTCAACCGAGCCATGAAACTTCCTCAACTGTGCTATGGGTTTCATTTCTGGACGAATTGCGAATTCGAGCAAATATGACGTAATCGGTGGAAATTGGGAAGATTAAGTGGTGTCACGGAGTCTTTACAATTTGTACAAAAGTAACAGATTTTTGTTTTGTAATGGTATGACGAAAGCTCACCATCGTTGTGTCGTGTACTGACAAGTTGATATTGGTCGCTTGGTATTTCGTAATTCGACTTAGATAACTCTGAACGAACGCGGAATGGGGTATCATGAGATCATCCAGCCGCCCTTTGATGAGTAAGAAAAAGAGGTTAGAGATCTATGATAATTACGATTATCATGTGTTCTAAATCCATTGTCCAGGAAAGAGACATTGGGAACGATGGAAAGGGGTGCTATGTTGCAGGCACGATACAGCAAGAGTTTTATTGCCAATTTTCTGCACTATGTATGGTGCCTTATGTAGTTAAAGTTATAATTATTTCACAGAGTGCGATAGGTTATTGGCGGTATAAGCAGACTGATACATATCTGACGGAAATTACATAGATTAATAAGTGCATTTACACACATATATAGCTATATTCTATTATATCTGGACCTAGTCCGAGAAAGCTTGAATGGAATTTTCAGCACTATTAAGGCTCTAGCTGGATAATGCCAATCACATATTTTAGTAGTGGACTATATCTTTCTCAGGGCAAGACTAAAGGTAATAATTTACAGTGTTGCCGAGTTTCGACCGAAATAATTTTATCGACGTACTCTAAATTCACTCGCAACCATCCAAGAGCTTTTTGAGACGATCAAATGCTGTTTGATAAGCCGGTACGCCAGTACAAATGGATGTTTGCGATAACGTGTTGAAAAATTGTATCAGAAAAACTTCGTCTCGAGGGTTACTCTGGCGTTTTGTAGCCATCCCGAATATAAGAGCGCAGCTCAATGTAATGTGAACGAACAGCCAAGACTTTCGTATCGGACACTGCAACTTCAACAACTCCAAGTACGTTTGCAAAACAGAGCGGCAACGGCTCAGATAGATATCGGTGAGCTCATCCTGACGTTGACCGTCAAGTGCAAGAACGGCAGGCCGGCACAAGCACAGCATGACGGAGTCTGAAAATGTACGGAAAAAGTAGTGTTGAATACAGTCGTCTCTGCTTTGGCACTTCGAGATATCTTGTACATGAGGGACAGACCGAGATTCAATGGCATTGAGAGCCCTTCGGTAATCAAGGATTGTCTCTGGAGGCAATAGTTGCTGTGAAGATTTGGCATAATCAAGAGCTTGCACAATCTTGTTTGCAGTCATAAAAAGATAATGGCAGCTGTCGGAAAACGTATATAGGTGATCGTCCCCAGGTATTGCTGGTGGCAGGAATGGAACGGTTTCAAGGACAGTTATTCCCGGCGGTCGATCATAACACAAAGATACCAGTGTATCTTGCCATATCAGAGAGCGCCTGGGCGTTGTTGGCTAATTATCAGTCTCTGCGTATGAGTTTCGATAAACGAAACTTACCATATGTAGTACTTCACAGTTGCCTCGGCTTTATTGGAATCAGTTATTGCATCCGGATTTGGTACACGATGTAGTCCGAGACTTTGAGCGAGACGTATGGTTAAACCTAGACAGAATGGAATCTTAGCAGAGACACGTATGCATGTCGTGAAGATTGTAGTTATTTACCGAGCATCGACCATGATGCTCCAGCGTCTGCTTGATTCCGCAAGAAATTGACCAGCAAAACAAGCGTTTGAATCACTTCAATGGTTGGGAAAGAGATGAAATTACTCAATCTCAAACATTGGAATGAACAACATGCTGTGTTCGGATGTTAGGATCCTCCTTTATTGTAAAAGTTGGCGTCGAGGCGGCAGGATTGATGCATACCAAACACACGAGCTTTTAGTATCTCAGTATCCGCTTCATAAGCAAGCTGTCCGCCACAGGCGAGAATAGCGAAGAGGAGGCCAAACCATGCAGGGCTGGTATTGGGCGAAAACATTGCCGAAGCGTTCCCCGTCGAATTCGCTCTGGTTTCGAGAAAATGAGCGAGCGTAGCCTCAAATTCCGGAAAATTCACTACGGATGGGAGAATGCGAAATAACGATCCTTGACAAAACCGAACTAGGCTATCGCTTGCTGTTAGAACGAGCGAATACTGTTGTTAGAATGTATTCACCGACCTTACAATATCGTCGTCATCAGGTAAAGCGAGGTATATCTTCTCCGGGCCATCATCCGGTTTCCAGAGATTTGTGAAAGGAAAATTGGGACTCGAGTCTTGCAAACACAAAATTTCAAAAATCGCCTGCGGGTGCGCACCAGGTACAAAGGACGCCGCTTGAGGCCCATCATGACGTTTACTTTGGTTTAGATTCTGATATTTAGTCAAAAGCTTTGGAAGCGAACTTGAGCCGAGATGGACTTTCGATTCATATGGCTCTACCGCATCCACATAGAGACCGCGAACCGAATTTGTATTTGCTGTTTCTGCCTGAGAGGCATGGAAAGGGTGTCCTTGGTGACCGTGTTTTGTCCTATCTTCGGCTGGCTCAGGACCGATGCGACTCTGTGGATACTCACAAAGATCGGCGTGTCCACGAACATTGCAACTATCACAGGGCTGACTGAGATCACATTTCACTTTGCGACGCCTGCAAGGATAACAGGCTTTCGCAGAACGAAATCGTCGTCGTTTGAATAGCAAGTAGTCAAGATCACGTTCTGTGTGAGTTCTCGACGATTGGCCACTATAAGTTTGTAGAGAATGTTCAGTTTCAAGGCTCAGGAAGGTTTCCAGAAGGACACGCAATCTACCTCTCCTCCATGTCGAAGTTTCTATCGTGAAAATCCCTGGGTTGGACTGTTTTAAAAGATCAGAAGCAATACTCAAAGGAAGAGTTGCGGTATAATTGGCAAGCAGAGGACGATCAACTTTTGTGTACAGTAAGTCTGTGATCTAGACACGGATTATCCAGTTGGAAATTCCATGCCCTGTCGCCACATTGCTGAAGGAATGAAAAGCCGTCTTAAAAACAAGTGGCATACTTAGAAATAACCCCGCTTTGCCAAGAAATTACTTAACGAACTGTGGTTGCATGACAAGTTTTCTCGGTCATAGGTATGGTGGTACATTTATAAAATACCAGCCGTATCAAAGTAAAGTAATCGAAGCCATCTTTTTTGTGACCCGTGTTATATCTCATACCGTACAGGTTACGCTCGTCAAATTTTAGCGAGCGCTTACAGTTATTTCCTTTATTGCGAAGTGTAATTAACTTACCTACTGTAGGTTCTTGTTAGTACTGTCGCTAATGAAATACCCTGGATGTGTATGAGCGTTTCCTGATTTCACTTCATTTCTTTATGTTATAGAAATATACCTATCGTGTTCGTAGTTGATAAATTAGAAGATTCGGATACGTGGCGCTTGTCAGTCTGAGCTTGAGCGGTCGTCTGTCAGATGTCTGGTTGAAATCATTGATACAGCCACAGTTCATACTAGCCCCATATTTTTAAGCTTGGCTGGCTTCAAAATATTAGAGAAATTGAAACACCAAGCGGTGCTTCTGTAGACGGAAACGACGCTTTCGTAATATTCATTGAAGCTTTTTGCAAAAAGATCTAAGATTTCAATTGAAGCCAAGGGCTGGCCATGAAAAGTGTCTAATCACTCCCTTTGAAGACAGCTCTGGCTATTGTGCTCTTATAACCTTCGTTTTTGACTCCATACTGGGCTCCTTGAAATGCAATTATAGCAACATCTGCTTGTCATGTTATTAACGGCCCTGCAAGAAAAAGGTTCGTGCAAGTTTTTGATTATTAAAAGAATCCCTCTCGAAAGATTCTTTCACCATCTACACCTGCAGCGCGTAGTCCATCGACAGCAGAGTCTCCAAACCCTGCCGGTCCGCAAATATAAACTTTTTCTGCTCCAGAAACTGTATCCCAGTATGATTGTTGGATACGACCCTTGTGAGAGATGACCCGAATGTTCCGATCTTGCAAAGTCCTGCTCTGCGACACAATTTCGTTCGTGAAAATGTCGATACATATTCGCAGGTTAGAAATATCGGCTGACAACGCGGATTCGATAAGGCGTAGAAATGTTGTTGGTTCTCGAGTGGAAATGGCAAGGGTAAATTCACCCCGGGCATCGGACCCGCGCTGAGATAGAGCTGCCAACATGGCCATGAATGGAGTGAGACCGATGCCACCAGCCACCCAGAGTATTTTTAATCCTCTGAAAGGAAGACAGAAATCACCGGTTATACCGACTACTGGAGCATCGATTTCGAGGGCGCGGACGTCTATCTCTTGCCCATATTTCTGCTGTGCTCCGTGTTCACGAATGACGTCGAATAGAGCGCCTGTCACGGCACCGCCTTTCTTTTCTCGCATTGTTAAATCAAAGCCACATACAGGTCCGCGTTCATGTCCACTTGAAACAGTCCATGTACGCACACGATCATCATTCAGCGATCCTGGGGCATCAGCAGCCATGTGTTGGTAGTCTGGGAGTCCCATCCAATCCATAAAATCTAGAGCGATCGCTTGCCCCGGCCGAATTTTTAGTTGCTTCTTAGACCGATAAGTGACATCGAAATGCAAAGTTGCAATATCTTTGGCAAATTTTACCACAGTTGCGAGTCGTGCAATGGGCGCGTCGGTCATTGATGGCATCCCTTGAGGCTCTTCTTGGAGATATTTGACCTGAGGACTGTATGGACTGCGTTCAACATTGGTTCCAGAAACCTGCCGTACAGGCAAGGCATTACGCACAAGCGTATATCCGGTTGTTTCGAGCACACATAGAGTGGCCTGACGCGGCATCAATTCGAGAGCCGGTAGGCCTATCAACACCTGGGCGTTGCCTGTGAGATATAAGACATCACCTGTAGCAAATGATACGATGCTCAGGCCCGCCACTTCAGATGAGTAAATATTTCCCAGCGAGGACATAAATCGGTTGCCTGAGTAGTCGGGAAGTACAACAGTCCGTCCATCAGACGGACGGACGCGAACAAATCCCGGCAATCCACTTCGTGCATTCATTCCTGCATGCGAGGGATAGTTCTCAGCATCCGCTGCTTTGGCTTTGTAGACTGTTCCAATGAAAACAGTGTCTGCATCTGTAATAAAGTTTATTACTTCTTCCGGAAGACGTGCATGAGGATCCATATCGCAATTGGTATATGCGATTTGTGGGTCAGTTTCCGGTTGCGGTGCCAGAGTGCGGACGTTGATGTATTTCGGGCAATTCCTAGTGGTTCAAGCAATTATTAGACATTCATTCACAATCAGTAGTAAAGGATAGCGCTCGCACCCCAAAGTCTGATTCACAGTTAGGGTTAGGTCGAAATCGTAAGTCCCTACTTTCGTCACGTCTGATATATGCCCTGCAAATTTGTTTCTTCTTCTCGTAGCAAGTTCAATACCGAGCCCGGCTGTGAGATAACGCATTTGGATGGGCTTATGTTGGCGACGTGCTAGCCATGTCTCGACTGTTTGGATCAAAGGCTCTCCTGGCCACAGGCGTGATTTGACAGTGAGCGTATGCGCATTCGGACTCCGAACAAATCCAATCTCTCCGTCAGCTCCGACTAATATGGAGGCCCACGGACGACCTCGACTATCGATAGTGGTAACTGGTATGAATGGGAGATTGGTGGTGTGGAATGTCCGGTGTTGTTCGCGCATGGAATTTTCATTTAGCTGCCAGCCGGTTCGAACAGCCTCATCAAATCCTAACTTGTGCTGCACAGCGACCTCGCCAGGATGCCATCCCTTGAGTGATGAAGGCATGATGCAAGTCCTAAAACAATATTAGCTTTACTTCGATCGGTGGATGAGGGTGACACTTTTTATAGTGGTAGTTGACTCTATGATCACGTTCCGCTAATGGTCGTATGCCATAGCAGGTAGCGTCGTCCGTTCTTTATCGTAGTGAATGTGCACGGGAGAATGGAAGAATGTTACTTTGGGTGGCGTGTATTTCTTTGCCTTTCTAAGCCTGCTCTAGAAAACATTCTTCCTCGGAGTGTATTCGTATTTAACAATTTCAATGAAATCGAATCAAATGCAATTAATGTTTAAGCGAACAGTATTACTATTAGTAGAATTACCAAATGCCGGTATTTAGTCACTTGGCCATAAGATGCCGAATTTCTCATATAATCAATGAGTAATACCTCGAATAATTCTTGGTACGTTTGCCATGTCAGATTAGTGGTTTCGTCTTCGGCATAGCTCCACTGAATTATACAGTGGTGTTCCATAAGCTTGAGACTCGTTATCCGCTTAAGCGGTAAGCAGAGCGTTTCAGACCTTGGAACACCGCTGTATCAAGTTTGAAATATACCATAATCGGTCATTGGATGCGGTGTATGACGCTAATCTCACATATTCGCTTTCCATGAGCGCGGCGGCTGGTGTCCATCCACGATATAAATCATCTGATTCCCACAATCTGATTCGTCGTTTCGATGCATCCAGCGCCTGAGCTATGGTAGTAATCAGTTTCCTTCAAAAATAGGGGTCGAAGTACTCTACAGAATGGACAGTACAGATTCATGTTCCAAAAGTCTGAAACTCTACCTATCGCCTTAACGAGTAACTGGTTTCATACTTTTGGAACACCACTGTATTCTAATCATTGATTGTGTGGATTATTGGGAATGTGCTTTGCTAGTGAACACCTGATTTTAGGATCCTGTTAGATGTAACAACTAATTAATCATAGTATTAGACTATTTTGAGTGGCATGAACACGTAAGAGAGATGCATGCAAGCATTCATAATCTCACTGTCAAGGTTTTTGATCTCCGAGCCCGACGCCGTTGGATAACACCCGCAAGCGGCATGGATAAGGTAGCTTGGGCAAGTGATGGAGCTCTTGTATTAATGCTGTAATCCTGATACACACTAATGATACCAACTATTTGATATACTTTGATTTACACATGCTACACGAGCAGGAAGTCAATTTGAGACGCTAGCCTGTTAATGGAAGCATTGCCCCTATCGGGTAAAGTTTCATCTAAACTTACCTTAACAAAGGCCGTTGGCCCTAACGTACACAGTGTTTAATGCCTTACGTATGCGTTACGTAAGATTCTTTCGCAGCCCCCCCACTGTTGTGTAAATAGTTACTGTTGGATTGTTGGATTGTTTCCACTGAATTTATTTAAATCTGACCGCTACCTAGTGCTGCCAATTTCTCTCTGGACAAAGCTATTCGCAATTCAACTCCTAGAAATTACCTCCAAAATAAACAGCCACAATTGATCCATCATGTCGCAGCTTCCGACTAAGCCCGTTCTGCATTATTTCGATATTGGCAGCTTGGGTAGAGGAGAAGTCGTGCGGTAATTAATATCACAGGAATGCTTTGCGCCGGACTGACGTGAGTGTCTGAACAGGCTTTTCCTGCAAGATGCTGGAATCAAGTTCGAGGATAAACGATATTCGCCCGGCGATAACTGGGCAGCGACCAGCACGGATCTCCAGGCAAAACGCCTTTCGCGGACCGGGAAAGTGCCAGTGCTCGAATACAATGGTGCTATTTTGAACCAGGTTGGCCGCATCTCTTCGTTTGAATGACTTCTGCTTACTAACGGTGATACTAGCACATTCCTATACTACGCTATCTGGCCCGAGAATTGGGAAGCTACGAGGGTAAAACAAGCCTCGAAAAGTACGTTGTTGACGCTGTGGCAGATATTTATATTGATTGGAGAGTAAGTCATAGATAGCTGGTCACTTTGCGGTAAGTTATCATGGACTAACAGGTTATTTGCAGTCACAATGGGCAAGCCAGCTAAAGGCTAAAACGGCCGAGTACAAGAATGATTTCGCTCCGAAATACTATAAAATCCTTGCGGAGTATTACTCCGAACGAGCGGGACCTTATCTGCTGGGAAGCAATATCAGTTATGCTGATTTTGCTGTTTATCAATCTATCGACAATGATGAAAATATTGGGACGCTACCGGTATGTGTCTTCCGAGCTGACAATATAAATATATCTTCAAGGCACTAATATGCCGACTCTCTTAGGCGGAACTGCCGGAGCCGATTCTTAAGTTTAAAAAAGCTTTCGAAGCCCGCCCCCGCATCCAATCGTATCTTGCGAGTGGTCGCAGTACCAAATCCTAGAGACGTCGTAGGGTTGTGCTTAAAATGCGAGATCTTCTGCTTAGACGCTCGATGGAGGTCTACATATTATCTTAGTGTTACTTCATTTTTTGATATCTCGGTAATTCGATGTTTGTTTTGGAGATTGACTCCAAGTAAATTGACCAATTGCTACTCGTATCGAAAAGAAAGAGATTTTATTACGTAAGACTTAAATACCACCGCTGATACTCGACGATCAGCGATCCTTTCTCGTCCGCATTCTCCCCACTCTGACGGGGGCCTTTTGTTTCAGCTGTTTCAGCTTGTCGAGTTAGTCTCTCATATCCATTGCCGGATTCTTGTACGGGAAAGTATTGACGATTTTCTTGCATATCTCATGTCAGAGGTTGGCTTGGAGAGCCGACCTCTGAGTGCGTTTGATAGACCGGCCTCGCTGTGTATACTATGAGTTCATAGGCTTGCAAATAGGCCATGATGCGCAGAGGCGATACTGGTTTTGCTTTGTATTTTTCTGGGGGCTTGTGTTTCTAAGCTCTCATTCATCCTACAATTCGGAGATAGATTTTCAGGGAAAAAAAGACTGTTAAATCAGTCGAACCTTATTCTGTTCGTTCCTGTATATCAGTTAGACCTTTTTGTGTATCATAGATTTGCGCAGGTCTTTCGAAATATGCAACTCCATGTGCTTCAAGTCGATGGACATTATGAAGGATGAGAATACGGGCTAATAGCTTCAAAACTCATTTCTGTATAAGGATCTTTATGGCGAAGCCGGCTGCAAAACATGCGCGAATAACCAGCAAGCAACAAGTTTTTTAAGATAGACTTCAAGAGCCCGGGCATCTGCTTATGGGGCGAGACTCTGGACAGACAATGCGTCCACCCATATTTCTCTTCAGGTGAAGACAGATGACACATTCGGTACAACTTTGTGAGGCGATCGGGGCCGGCATCTGGCCTGCACAGTACGAAGCCGAAATATCTTTAAGTTGGGCGTTCTCATTGCGAATTTCTTTTAGCTGCTGTTCCAAGTCTTGAATATGTCTTTCCAACGATTCGGTGTACTGTTGTTTACGTTTGCGGAATGACTTCTGTCTGGACCATATATGAGCCAAGTCTCTAGACTTTGAAGGGCATAACATACGCAATTCGGTTCTGGAGTCTTTTCTTGACCGTTCTCACGTCACCGTTTTCCTTTGAGAGTAAATCTGACTTCTCGTTGGTAATGAATGAATCTGTCGTATCGCTTGTTATTACAGCGACAGAAGTGTTTTGCATATCTTCCACTCGAAAGTCCAAACACGGGTGGTATAACTCGCTCGCTTCGTTGTATCTGAATTTGGTATACGTCTATTAGTGTTTGAACCATAGGATGCAAGGCCGTTTACTCACAAGCTATCTTCGCTCAACTTCTGGCCATTGTATGTAACCGGCTCGGGGCGTTGGTGGTTTGGTTGTATTTTGAAGCTCGAATTTTGGTCCCAGAGGGCCTGTGACGATTGTTTGATGGCTGGGTCTAGCGAGCTCGGATTATCCTATTACGTGAGCTCGGGCTGGCGCGAAAGTTGAGTATTAGTGAGCGATTGGAAACAACTTACTGTTGGTCTGCAAGATGAGCAGGAATGTGGAAGTTGTGATTGGAGCAAAAGAAGCGAGTTATCAAATTCCCCATGATCCATATCGTTAGTGGAAATTGTTCAAAGTGGCAAATTCGGATGTACTAATCGGTTGACGTCTTGAGTTCCGGGCGGCAATGGCGATATTTATACTTTAGTCGGTCACAATACTTAATTCAGTTTTGATAGTTCCGGCTTGACGCATTCATAAGACACAACTTCCATCAGTCTTTCTTTTCCTCTTTTTTGGCCGCCGATTTTTCAGTAAAGCGGTGGCATGATTCTTGGATTTGGCCGCTGCACATCGTCTAATTGGTTTCTGCATGGTCGCGACTGTAGTCATCATACTCCGATTTCACGCTAGCCCATCAAGGCAAATGCCTCCCTGAAGTAGATCTAGGTTCCGTACAGCAGCTCGGTTACGTTAAACCTTGGTCAAATTCGACAGGGTTGCAGCTCGGTGCTTCGGCTTCTAGCCAGACTGGGTTTTTTGGTTTACAAAGAGTAGACCCATATGAATATAAAATTTAGAGGGATAGATTCCCGCCTGCACGTAATTTTGTTAGCAGACATTCATCAGGCACTATCAAACACTTATGTCTATAAAGTTTTGATGGTTGTTGAAGACAATCTGCGGATGGAAAGATCACGATAGAGAGCGGAGAGAGATAGCTCCTGAGTTCCGCGAATTAAAAAGCCTGAACATTCATTGTCGTGGGTTCCGCGGCCGGTTAAGAGGACACGTCCGAACTATGACCCGGAGTCACTTTGATGTGCCGGTTGTACAGGGTGAATGTATTAACCAGAATAGGAAGCAATAAAGATAGCTTCCCCCAACGCCGAGCTAACCATTTCAGGCATTTAATCCAGCTGGATTTCGCCGTGTCAAGATCGGAGCAAGTCTCACCGCCATTTTTGTGGTTAGTTTCCAATAATTGCTTTCGTAGGTTTCTGAACAGTAAAGCCTCTAGTTAGAAGCTGCACCGTCTCCTATAAGAGTATCTACGGCTGTGAATAGCAAATTGTCCATGGAGCAGATCTGAAGATTCTGGAATTCTCTTGCTGTAGGCGAACGAGTTGCAACAGGAACGCTCTTGGCATTCCAGAGATTTACGATCGAGTTAGTGAAATCTCGCCAGAGTCAGCGCCCCATATTTAACTCCGAATCGAATGCGAGGCTAAACCTTTACCGTCAGTCGCATATTTGACATTTGTCAGTATAATGGCTCCTGGTAATTAATCCGCTGCCGCAGCCTGACACGCTCATCTGGAAATTTCCCAATCAGGGAACTGTGCCCCGATGTGGCCAGATATCACTGTGTAGAGTTTTTCCGCGTCTCTACTATAAATATGGACATGATAGCTAGACCTGAATACCATCGGTTTCAATCATTGTCACATGACACTATCTAGTAAATTTCCTAGTGGATACGCGGAATCCAGACTCCGCCAACTTCCGATATCAGTAAATTACTGTATGCGTCTTTAACATTACAGACTATCGGTTGGGGGTAATGGCTCATTTACGTCCATCTGACCACAAGGTGTGGGGATAGCGATCCGAACAGGACGCCAGACAAACATATACAGGACTCAATCAAACTGCATTGCTGATATTCTTCCCAGCTGTAGATGGGAAGCGTTGACAGACTCAGGAGCCCGCTGGCGCTGCCATACGAAGTTGCCGTAAAGGCAATAATTTAATTCATTTGGTATGCTTTAAAGGCAATGAGGAACGCATGATATGCCAGTGGGATCGATGGCGTATATGAAAGATTCTTTTAGAGCGACGGACGGAATTGCAATATTCGGTCCTTGCACAGATTTTGTTGATTTTCATGACGGCCTTGGGACTTTGGCTGACCTGAGGTCATGTTGAAATATTCATATTGGAGCTGTCTGACCTCTCCTTTATTTAACTGTTCTGGCAAGTCAATAGGATAACTAAACATGGACTTGTTCTTAATCTGAGTCAAATACTAGAGCTGAGAATCAGAGATAGAAATCCTATTACGTCATTTGTAGGTCGGTTTAATCACATTTGTTTTGCTGTGTGCGGTGTTAGATTAATGGTAATATTTATCACTTCTACTTGACTTGTCTACTTTTGGATTACTCTGCGTTCGTACACGCCATCTTTCAGGTGAGATGAGTAGCACGCCGTTAACTCAAGCGTGTTATACTCGCAATTGGCAGGATAGAAAAAAGCATTTTAATGTTTATACAACATATGTATATGTTGGCTTGACCCCTGAGCCTTCATTGTCAACGTGCCATCCTAATAATCACGATTGACCGATAAACAAGAGACAATATAATCCACAGTATCACAAACAATAGTTAGAAGATAGTTAGAGTGCTCCTGCGTATAAATTGTGTCTTTCTTTTACAGTCGACTTTGGAAACCCTTGAATTTATATTACATACAACTTCCTAGTAGCCAAAACATTTTGCCAGCGCAACAGGACAATCATATTTGCTCTCTGAATAACTACTCTGTTAATACTCCTCTGGCCACGTTTTGAACTTTACGCTGTCTTGCTAATTTATTTTTCATGCGGTACCACCAGAATGGCGCCCAATCTAACCATTTAATAGCATGAGATTATTTGCGACATGATCAGCAGCGACGTATTATCTAATACCAAATGGCACGGGGTGTCGAATACAGCTAGCGCGTTATCCTAGGGATCTCCTCAACCTTGGGCTGTTTGGCAACGTCGCAACACAGCCTAGTAAAGCTAGGTATCCATGCAGCACCATACCTGTCAAGCTGGCAGCTCTGTGCGATCATCTGCTGGAATTTATATAGACAAGATGGCGATACTTATGTGAGGCGGGTTCAATATTCAAATACCAAGATTTAGAAGCAGTCGTCCTCTTCCATCCAAGGGATGGTCAAAAGACCTGCCCTGTAACCCCGTTCTACGTGATGAATACGACCACTTGATTTCAGAGCTTCATTCGTACCCCCCAAGAGACATTATAAAGTTCGCAGACAATGCATAAGTGTTTGTTAGCGCACCAGTTCGCGAATTGATGCCCTTCCAGGCTACTTTGTGTGTTATGGACAGGCTTGGACATAATTCTGCTTATGATACCTTGCTTTTCCAGCAAAAAAGCGATATCGGGGCCCATTCGAATCACCCCCATGAGGTAGAGATCTCCGGAACCAGACATTTCATTCGTTAGATCGGTCTGAGATCAAAAACCTGTATAGATTAAATCCTATTCTATAACAATTTGGTACCACCAAGCATGTTCATAATAGACGGGGATGGTTGAATCCAGGCCCAATATCTTTACAGCTGTAGCGAAAAATATTTCAGGCCTCTATTGAGACATTGGGGCTTTGCTGTCCGGAGGAACTGGTTGCGGGGTATTATTAATGAACGCTTCGCTCATTTGACAAGTTCTGTAGTTGTTAGCAAGTTCACAGATACCACATTTGTAGTAGCTAAGATATACCTCACAATGAAATCGATGACAGCATCAGGAAAGCCCTCAAATCCATTTCTCAGGGTCATTAAACTTCGAAGTCCCCGCAAATTGACTTCAAGAGCACTTTTCTCTCCATTGAGCAACTAAAATCGAAGGTGGTTCAGTTTGTAGCATGTAATAAGCTGCTAACCGAGATCGCACGACACTTACATCAGCTGCCAGTAAGCATGCGATACTGTAGATGGTGACAATATCTGTTGCATCGTCGACATTATTCATTCTGTTTCCTAGGACTTCGACCGCTTTTATTTTGCACACAATCTGCCAGTGTTCAATGAAGCCAGTCTTCAGCTTCATTAGTTTTCCATTCTTTTTTGAAACGCAGAACTATCATTACTTACGTTGATATTGTGATCTTTCCGTAAAACTTGGCTTCTCTTCAGGGCCCCAGAATAGCTCAGCAGAGCAAACATAGCCCCCGGGTCTTTGGTAACATGCGATGTAATCCAATTGATATGACGAGATTGGTAGTTTGAAGTAGCAAACACTTGCGGAAATTCTTCTTCGAAAACTTGATTTGTTAGCGAGACTCGACGTGTGATATGATAAAATAAGTGTAAAGAAAGAGGCAAGAACATAAAAGCGAAACTTGCATAATCTCAGAGACTTTTGTAAATCGAAACTCACATGAGGACAACAGCAGGGCCAAAGTACGGTTGGGACCGTTTCCGTAAACACGAGTATTCGGTCGAGATGAGAATGAGGCTATCACTGATTGAAGAAAGTTTTCACAGTAACGGTCCAGAGCGTCCACTTCTTGAACAGGCCAACTTTTGGTGATGTAGCTGGAGTCAATGTCCAGACATTCACTCGGGAGATTTGATTTATCTCATTAGTATAATCAGCATTAGAATTGTGCTTGAAGAATTACGGGCTGCCATACCACACTGGCTATCCCTTTCTGCAGACTGACACTGGCTTAAGAATGATTGCCTTGGCAGAACTTTGTTCGGTGAATGTTCTTGCACTTTTCTCGCATTTCGGCTCCCAGAAAACCGCTGGACATGAGCTCTCTTCTTACTATCGTAACCGTGGCGTAAAGGTAGTTTGTCATGCTCGACGAAAAGATACGTTGGTTCTTTTTGCGTGTTATTGACATCGATTCAAGGCTGCTCAAGTACGCTACTTACGGACTGCTGCTACTGCTCTGAACTCGGGGTGTTCTTGGATGAACTGGGTTTCATCTAGGGGACATTGTGGATTCCGAGCATCTCGCAGTTCGTTTCCCGTATGATGATGAGTTAGAGACATTGAAAGTCCCAGACGACGCTGATGAAAGTCTGACTCATACAATGAGTTATCGGCCTGACACTTCAATGGATGAATAATGCGTATTCAGAACTGACTCAACACAACAGCGCCTGTTCGTTATAAGTATTCCTACGACCTAAGTGAAGTACGGATATGGCAGTGTACAGTAACAAACTATCTTTCATCCATGGCGGCCTACCAGCAAAGGTGGTGATTGGCCAGTTCCACGTCAATATAACGGGTAATTCGCGCCACCTGCAGGTGGGTCTTTTCTTATCACATCACTGATTGGTCGAGCTTGGTCGGGCTTGCGCACTAACCCTTTATAGAAGGTGCATTAACTACTAATGGTTTAGTTAACCAATACCAATCCGGCTTTTGTTATCCTCCCTCACGTTGATCGAAATGGCCAATGAACTATTATTATGAAGATTGAAGCTCTCAAACGTATTCGATAAACGAGTGCCGCACCCCAAAACACCATAGTAAACGCGATATTCTACCGATTCATATATCAACAATAATGTCGTAATATACGATTTAATTGTGTTCTAATAAGATTTTGAAAATGACTAGCCTATTTGTGAGATTTTAAGAAATTTGAGATTTAGCGTTTAGATATATATCGAGCACGCGATCGCAGTCCATACTATTAATTATACGTATGAATAATATCAAATCAATAATCAAAGTGAACAACTTCGTCGTTGTTGAATTATCAAATTGTAAAAATAATATTTGTACTATGGTGTTTTGGGGTGCGGTGCTCGCTTGCGTGCGGCGCTCGTTTACTAAGCACGCTAGAAGTTGTGGATTTAGTAATTAAAGAGCGGTATACCACCGTTCCTTATGCGCCTAACAACAGTTGAAAACAGAAAACACTAAATTCACTGATCAATGACTACTGCTCTACTTGGTTTAGAGGGAACTGCACACCTCACGTCTGATACATCAAACGTTGTTTCCATAATCTCTTGTCGTCTGTGTCTCCGGCCTCGAGGTTGAGAATAGTGTTATGCGATAAGCTAGCTTCTTAGTAGATTCTGCGCCAAACGGGTATTGTCAGTTTAGCTTATTGGCCCATTACATGTCAACGTCAAAGAGATCTTACATTGCTTGTATTTCCACCATGAAATTTAAATAAACGGCCTCGCAAGAGCAACAATTCTACTGATACCCAACCAGTAAGACAATTATGCTAATTAGGAACACAGGGTCAGCAATTAGCCCCGATCAGGAAGGCCGAACGGAATTTAGTATCTCCCGGCGGTAGAAGGAATGGAGCAGTGTGACAAGGAAAGTTGAAAGAACGACACTGGTCACTCAGGCGTAAGACGATATGTTTGACTTTATGGGATCAGTTCTTCAGGCAACATCGGCACCAGTGTACGCGTATGCTAAGACAAGGGTTCACAACGGATTTCTTTCGCACATTCGACATATGATAGTCTCACGGGTCACCTTTCTGTGTCTTATTTTCACGCACGATTGGCAAATTCCTGCAGTCAGGGTGGGATTGCACCTTCGGAACCGAACTTAGATAGCTCTTCGATCGGCAGGGTCTGACATTTTAAGCCCTTATCACAGACTAAACTTCCCTGAATATCCTCCGTTGAAGGACATCAATTTTACGCAGAAGACGTCGAGGTGAAAACTGGAAAAGGCAAGGCAAGGAGTGTAGTAAAATATATTTTTCGACCCTGAGACTACCTACAAGGCCTTGACAGAATACGACATTGAGATTATCATTAACTATATTGAAGTAGGGCTAGCGGTGGACAACCAGGCTGATAACTATTTCTTGTCCCCGGTCATGGCACCCCCAGTGCCTGCCACCCGATCCACCTTGCGCCGCTGCGTGATGGTGAAGCCACCGGTCAGGAAAAAGAGCGCTTCAAGACCCAAAATGACTGCCAACGTGACCATGGCCCCAATCACACCAGCAACGGGACGCGAGACACCATCAGAGCCGGAGGACGAATCATCGGCCGTTATAGAAGCGTTCGAGTCTAAGGTTGCACAGGAACCCGTCATGAGTTCGCACATCTCGCACAAGTTCGTGTCACTGGTGACAGCAATCTTCTGCGTTTCCGAAACAAAATCGGACCAAGAGATCAGCTCGTTCGACGTGCCAAACAATGGGTAGCCCACTGGTTCGTCAGATCCGGTGAGGGTGCCATTATGGAGAGTGAAGCGCACTCTAATCTCATCGGTGACGGGGATCCCGCCACCAGTCGCGTTGGTCACCAGTTCGAACACGAACGAGGAAGCACAGTCTGGAATACCGTTGAAATCCATTGAGGCCTTAGGCAATCGCATTAGTCCAAAGAACGAGAAAATAGTGCCGTAAGAGCCAATTTGCAAATCCAGCAGCTCTCCCGTTCCGGTGATGGTGTTGTTGAGACCCTGGAGGATCTCGCCGGCCAAGATAGCACCAGCAATAAGCCGTACAGGTTCGGAGGCGTTGTAGGCCAGGCCGTACCCGTGGGTATTGGCAAGGGTCATTAGTTGGTGGTACACGGAGTTGGTCAACAGGCCACTATGAGAGAAGTCGGTCGACGAGTTGTGGATTCGGGCAACATTCAGGTAGTCGAAGATTTCGTAGGCATTCAGATAAGTCATGGAGGACTCATTGAAAGCCGCAGTCAGTATGGGCGCCAGCGAATGATAGAAATCGGTGGTGGAGGAGAGCAACTCATTGTACTGACTCGACAGGAAATAGTTATTGCTGCTGACAGTGGCCTTGGGGCAGCTTGTCGTACCCTGCAGCCAGTTCGCGTCCTCACTGTTCTCACCGGTGGCAACGACGGATAGAGATATCAACTGGTAGCCCTGCAGCGGCGACTGGACAGTCGTTCCGTTGGCGAGCTTCATGGAGCCATATTTTGTACCAACGGGTGGGTACACGCCTTGCAAGAAGCCTGTGGCCGAGTTCTGCAGCACCGCGTCTACGGGCGCTGAGGCTTGGATCTGAGTGAGATCCGCAACCTTGGAGCTGATGCTCTGGATATATTTGACCGAGGAGTTGTCGATGTAGCGAGCATGGTAGAAGGAGCCCGCTTCAAAGACCTCGCTGTAGCCTAGATCGGTCAAAGTGGAGTCGCCCGACACTTTGGCGTTACGATCACCGTGGCGCGCGAAAGATGTATGCACCCAGCACAGGCTCAGCCGAAGCCAGCGGTGCAGTCATATAGGAGGCCGGATTGAAACGAGGAGCGTATGATTGGAGGATCGGGAATATTTTGCGCAGGATAGGAGAAACAGCATCAGGTAGGACGGCAGCAGGGGGTCATCATAAAATAAACTCTTGTGTCCGATTTCTATTTACTCAGTCATTACAGTAGTTATTTCGCCGCCATGCATATTGCACGACAGTGTTTGCAACCTATAAAACCCACTACCCGCGGGGGTACTGTAATCTGTATCAATTTCTAGGTAAACTTGTTGAGTGATACCGTAGGCACGTTAATCCAGCCATACTTGCTGCTATCTGTTACAGAATCTGGTCAGGGTTTTTGGGCTCAATGCGCCTTTTGACATGTAATTATGCCAACAAGTTGTCAATGACGTGCAATTTCTGGAAATCAATACGTGGGTGCCTCCACTTAACGAATACGGACATGCGGGCGAACCAGACAGTTGGATAATGTACCAAACTGCGCAGTCACTCGGGAATAATTGCGAGACTTCCCGCATCATTTGTTTCTGGTGGTGGTCGGCATATAAATCAATCTGATTGGCTTCGCACTTAGCTCGGGGTTAATTGTGGGGTGTGGAACTGCATAACTGGGCTGCAGAAACTCTCCCATAGGCGAGCTTGTAATTCAATGCTTCGCCCTGCGCCGCGGACGGCCAGACGGTAGATGAGACATTTACTAAGAACAGTAAATTTCTTACACATCAGGTAAGGGAGCAGAGCTCTACCCGTTAATGTATTTTACAAGCTGTTCAGTCACACAAGCGAAATGATGATCTCTGAACATGTAGTAAGTGTTGTCAAGAATTGGAATTCCACCAGGATACATACAGGAATTTTACCCCTTACTAATATTTCCTATTTTGTACTAGTACTGTTATTCATTGTTTATTAGCTAGTTCGCCTTCTAAATTGTCGGGCATCCTCAGATTTATCTGAATTAGAGATTTAATTCTTCGTGATTTACACTTCCATGAGGGACTGTCGTACGCCCAGAGTTTGACAAGTGTCATAAATTGTATATCTCAACAACTATAAGTTATTGGTGCATATTTTGGTGGGTTGTAGTTCCCTAGCATAACAACCGTTATATGTTGACGTCAAGCTAGATCATTTCTTTTCGTCATACAAAATACGCTGCCCTGCCATGGTCTGATATAAAAATATATGCGGTTTAATCGCTATACGTCGAATGCTCCTAGAACATATCAACACACTAGATATGTGATGAGAAAGTTTACTTCAGTAGAAATAGCCTACGATAGCCATTGGTCGTTGAAATATAGAGCTGCAATCTATCACGTTTGCTATGTGTTTGGGGTGATTGGCTTTCTTGTGAGGTACAGTTGATGTGAGGAAACTTGTGTCTATAACTGAAAGCTTGGATACCTAATCACAAGTTTATATGTCGGAATCCAATCGAGACAATGCTTTGATATGGGAGCGTTATTTGCTCGGGAGCTCCCCTTTTGTAGCTGGTGAGCACGCTTTGAAATTTATATGCTGCACAGATTCAACAATATGTAATTATTCATGTTCTACTGCATGAAAATTCAAGGGTGCCCTAGTATCTTCAAGGAAAGAGGAATCATGGTCTAAAAACATAATACCACGTTGTTGGTATATATTAGATCGGCTCTTGACAGCAAAAATTATTTTTACCGAATTGAATCACACGAAAACCTCGGATCTTAGTCAGTGGACTTGTTCCTTGAGGTATATATTTCTACAATGGCATATATTTACCAATTCTATTAATCCAAGAGAAATATTATCAGATACTTTTGTCCATGAACTGTTATAAACTTGACAGTAAACTATCAATTTTAGACGCATTATATCTCTATATTGATTAATCTTGATTCCGAAATATCGAGCCTGTAGTATATGGCATTTAGTATGCTGGTTAGGCCTGCTGTTGTCGTATCAAGCAGTGAAATCTCTTGTGCAGAGTCAGCAATAAGCCAGAGAAGCGTAGCGTCACTGGTGTACAGACATCCACCAAGAGTAGATCTCAAAATTGTACATTTTCTTGGGTATCACATATCAGTCTGTTGAGTCTATCCATTCGGTACCCAAGACACCAGAAAGTATAGGTATCGTAGGGTGTGTCGAGTGATCTCCAGGATCAGGTCTCCGCCGTGGCTCTCGGACTTCCCCTGAATCTCGACGCAGTGAAAACCAAAGCTTTCATTTATATTGGCAAATTAATAGGTACGCGACAACAACAAACATAAGAACGCTAGCTTCAAGGGCTTAACGAAAATTTTGGTCATTCAAGGTCCTTAGAGGCTTTCCAAAGTTCACGAGCACCCGTATCACATGCACAATCTAGCCACAGCACTGACTTGAGGCTTCTTCTGAGGCTGCTAAAAGTTGTCGTCCGGAACTGTGACAGACAAGTGTGCAGTTGCGACACATACCAGTTCCTCTCCGGCATACCTAACGAAGCCATGCCACCCATGACCAGTATCCATAGAAGAAACCGGCGACTTAGGGAGCTTTGGCTGAAATAGGACCAATCAGTTTGCTGAAGCTCTCGTTTCAGCATTGTTGCCAGACTTTTGAAGGGCGCGGTCTGTTCAGGTAGAGGAAAGATAACCCCAACCCCATATATCATAGCGGCGATGCGGCAAGGTTCATACAGAGATAGCTGCTTGTGATGGACTGCTGCTAACTGCGAACCTTGTGGCAGACTTAAAATTCTGTGTTGGGTAAAATTTCGTTGATCTGCGATTCTGTCCAAATTAGGATTGGCCAATGAGCCCGACATATATTTTTCAACAACAGCTGAATAAGCGCGCATCGCATGGAAGGCTTCGATAAGTTCGGAGGTTAATCCGAGCTCATGGCATCCTGAAAGCACGCGGATTTCGTGTTCATCAATGTCGAACATGGTCCACAATGTCACGGATGCTCTTTTGCAGAACAGTATTACCGGGAAAAAGGCAGGCGAGCAGGCTCTGCTTGCCTCAATAATGTCAGCACTTCATATTACAATTAGCATCCTTGACGCGTTACTTGAAGCATAATAGGATGACATACTAGGAAACAACGGCTCCTAGACCGGGAAGTTCTACCTGTTCGAGGCCTCCCCGTAAGACAACAAGCTGAGCAAGTCCAGCTTGGTGTACCGGATTAACAAGCAATGCTCCATAGATATTCAACCACTGAAGTTTCTTCAGAGGGGCATCGAAAGAAGAAAAAACCTCTTCGTCGAAGGTGGACTCTTCGGCTCGGTTTGTTGCTAAGGCCAGAACACTTAGGATCATTGCATCCGAGATTGCGCGGGTAGGATCTGAAATTATTTCGTTGATCATTCTCACGGTCTCCATCTCACAGATTTCCATCATTTGTTGATCTGCAGTTTCGAAACTACTGTCTCTATTTTCAAGCCAACGGACTCGTTTGTGTGCCAGGGAGGCAAAAGACATGGCCGTGAGTAGTATGGCATTTTGCTGAGTTAAAGAAAACCAGCGATGCATAGGTTTATTAAACGTTGACTTAAAAGCTGCGGGCATCAAGCCTGGCCAGATTATTGAAAGACCTGGAAGAGGCATATTAGCACGCAAATGATTTGGGGGAAATATTTCTCCTCACAGTATGTATTGCATTTGTTCAGAAAGGAGGATCGAAGCGGAACATCAACATGGACTTGAAATGGGTCGAGAAGTCCATTTCCATCAACGCCAAAAAGCATTCCCGGCTTAGATTGTCCGAGGTTGAAAGTGGGAGCTCAGTGACTGAAACGTGGGATCTGGCCAGATCTTGAACTCTGTCGGATTCATCAGAAGCTTTTTCTGCGATATAGCGATGCTGATGACGCGTTGTATTTGTTCGCCCTCGTCCCCGGATCATGTGGCCGCGACGATGTTTGGTCACCAATCTTCCTTCATATGAACCCCTTGAGTTCTTCTGTATGTTTGTTTCGTCGTCGTCTTCATTGGCAGCTGTTCGCACTGCCGCATCTTGTTTTGCTGGTAGATACCTAGCGTTCCGCCAAGACCACTGCGTTACGTGAGATCGAATGGAGCAGAACTTGTCGGTCCTGTTGGAGACAGCCGTCGGGTCTTCGTTAATAAAACGTAAAATGGGATAGTCCGCGCTAGACATGGCGCGTGTCTGTTGGTCTTCTGGCTGGAGCTTTTCCTAGGCTGTATGAATTTGCAGTCATATTTCTGGGTGGCGGGTGGCGACCCTTTTTCTTTGCTGCGGGGGCCGAATAGGACATTACATAAACACTTTATGAATCGATCTTAACCAACCAATAGACCGAATATCGTACGAGCTAGGAGTATCTTATGCGTCGGAATGGAGGGAAACACGTATCGAATACTTTGAGGAATTCAAATCAGGCACCTTAGACTGCGCGACCTTATGTACCACAGTATACAGATTGCAAGCTACCGAGAATGCGCAAGGGGGTTGATCTGGATGACCGTAGAAAGTGCCAAGACTTTTGATCACAGAGCTCACCTTTGTTCTCACATTAACTACGAACGCCCACGTTCCTTACAAACAAGCAGAAACGTGCGGCGAAGTCAACTGATCATTAATATGTTGCTATAATTTGCTCATAAAGGCGCCTTTTTCCATAATAGATCCAGTTCCCGACCGTCCCCTCAGTTCTGCCTTTATGAATCACTCAATATGAGCTGAGTCCGGCTTCAGGCATAAGATCCGCCCAAAGAAATGAAATTTTTTCATTCCACAGATGGTCATCCGACAATGGAATATATGAGCGTTTCCAGTGCGGGGACATGGACCAACACCAGCGTTTTCGAAGAAGAAAATGTATACAAATATTATTTCCTAGCCAATAACTTGCAAAGTTATTACTTGAACAAATAATAGTAGATTCATCATTGTGCTCTGGCAACGAAGATTCACATTTCCCGACTAGTTAACATAGAGCAAGCTGGCATGGTTACCATCTTACTGCAGAAATGGTCGCCAACGACTACTAGGATACCATCCACAGCGATTCTAATTATGTGGATTCTGTTCTTGCACATACCTTGAAATAACAGCAGTTTCTCAGAATTCTTAATCCTACAATATAAAAGCTTCTATGGTTCGCCAACCAACAGAAATAATAAGGACAAGTACCACCAACATATTCAATAGCTCGAAAGATGCGTAACACTTTATTTCTACAAAATGGCCTTTTATTTTAAAGCGGAAATGAAAAATTATATCTCTTCTCCATGCCGAACGACTTGTATTAATTTATTAAGTGGAGTTCTAATTTGTCCTCAGACTGGTTATAACTGAACAGCAGTAGCTCCGGTATCATGTCTTGTATATTCGGGATTGTCTTGCTCTGTTTTACAGAGAGTCGGAAAAAGTTTCGTTGTCCAGCCGTTGACTGGAATATCCTCAATATGACACAGTCTGTCAACAAGTGTGGATGAAGATGATACGGGTTGCGAAGAAACCTATGCCCACTGTTGTGTTTACGAACATCGTTGCAACACAACTTGGAAATATGAAGAGATAATGGTATGAAAATGAACTCAAGTGAATCAAAAAAAGCTTGGAAAGCTACACTGTTTTTCTTTGTTCGTGATGCCTAATAAAGTTAAGAACTCATTTGTCGCCCAAGGATTTGATCGACGTCTCGCTGACTTCTGTGAACAGAAAACTAGTGGTCTCTCTGCACAGTTGCTTGTCAAATGTCTGCTCAGTGTGAACTCATGAAAATGTGTTGTAACAGGATGCCTCTTCATGAGAAGACAGTTTATGGTTGGCGCGAGCTTTGCACGATTTATGCGGCCGGTGAGGGGAGATGAAAAAAGGAAACTCGTATGCGTTGAGAAGTTTGGGGAGGGATTCGGGTAGAATAACAAAAAGGAGGCGAGAATGAACCAAAAAGAACGCGTCGGTCCACTCGATTGTTTGTCATGTCATACATTTGTGCGAAAGCTGCTTGAGATCCTTCAGTGTCAGTTCAGACGACTCTTGAGTGCAACACGAAGTAGATTTCGTGGGCGCGTATAATAACATTGCCTCGTGTTATTACAGCACTAACTTATCAAAGGATTTTGCATTTATCGTAGTCGTGTATGGAAAGTAATTTTTGACTAACTATTTCTTGTGATTGCTATTGGCCGTCAGGGTTCACGGTTGACATCGAATGTTCTATGTAGATGCACTTGTCCCATTGGTACGGGGCTTGTGTCAGGAGACTGTATAGTGGTCCCCGTCGAGTCGAAATGCGCTGTGACATTTGTACAGTTTGCGCATATTTCCGTTCTCGTATTTGCAGAATTCATGGTGAAATTTTCTGGGTTGACGCCTTTTCTTTCCTTGCCATCGTGGACTGAGTGGACGATACGATCGTTGTTAAAACCTAGTTCAACGAGTAGTCTGCGTGGGGTAAGGGAGTACACTAACACATCAACTAGACCCGAACTTGCCATCATCGTACCAGCAACGCAAAAATAAAGCGCGCTGGGGCTGCGGTTCTTGGTGGTAGCCATGCGACCAATGGCAAGAGGCAGCGAGAGAATGATGTACGCTATCGGATAGATTGCCATGTATCCAACAACGCGACGCAGCTGATTGAGACTTTCGGAATGTCTGTTTCCCACCAGGGCCGACTGCGTATAACGGCGATGAAGCTGCAGGCCCATGGCTGTGTAAAGGCAGACGGTGCCAAATTCCGACAAGAAAATCCAGAAATAATGAGTCCATAAACGGATCGACTCGTAGTCCTCGCTAATCAACACTTTCGTTCATTTTAGTACAATCTTAACACATCAAAAGTTCAGGATTGCTAACTTAGGCACCAGATGAGAGAAAAACGGATCTTCCATGAATTCCAATTGGAATGACCGTCAAGATGATGATAAAGAGCCACAGGCCGACAACACCAGAAACGAACACTCGATGTTTCAGCCGACGTCTCATTGCAACCAACAGGAAGGTGTGAATAGCAATTGACAGCACAAAAAATCCGCTTGAAGGATCCCCGATTTGTAACCAGAGCCCCTGCAGGAAATGCAAGCGGCTGCGGCCGCTTCGATCCTACTTTCTGCAATCCATTTGTAACAAATCATGAATGCGAGTGACTGTTACCGATCTGCCAATATTAGATTGTAAATGAGAACAACATACGGATTGTAGCCGATATACTGTGCGTCCTCTGGATTGCAAAAGATCAATTTGTATGTAATAAAAGAGATCAGACAAGAAGTTGCGATAGCAGAGAGGATAGCCATTACAGCGACTGCTATTTATCCATTATGCAGAGAATTTGGAGGCGGGCCGCAATCCATGATCGTAATTGTCGCCGCTTTACATTTGTGATGATAATAGTATTTTCCGCTCACCATGAATATTGGATCCTCAGCGTCATATATATAGTTTAAAGTGAATAATATTTTTCAAATATCAGATAACCGTGCTGCTGACATGTTCTCGGCCAGTTGAAAGAAAATATCACTTATCATGTATCCATCATGAAATAATTATACGTCGTCACCGTTGAGTAAACAGATTTTTAATTAAGCGCATTTTTACAAAGGTTTCTGACTTTGTTGGCCTCCAACTAGCTGACATTCTGGCTGGTTTCGCTTTGATCATTCGCTTCGTATCAGCGTTGTGCGTTTGTGGAAACTTATGTTGGCTTTCGAGGTTGAAAGTTTTTAGATTCCCGTTTTGACATTATACCTCTGGTATATATTATTCTGGTATATATTATCTCGGAATCAGTTAGGCATTTTCCTTGAATTGAAAGTAAAAGAGGCAGCGTGCAGTTGATCGTATAGCGCGAGTTTCTGCGAATACTAGCCTAGCCATATGATTATGCTTGCCTAGCATGCAAAGTCGGTGTATCTTTCTGTTGTTCCTGGGATTCTTGCCCAGCCGATGAAGCTAGCCCAATTTATATCACCCTGCTCCTCGAAGACAGATCCGAGAGACCCTCTGCTTGTATTTTCATTCATTAGCAATAAAGGTTTGATTTAACCTATTTTTCTGTGGGGCGAGATTTACGATGTAATATTCATGTAATAGTTCACGTAATTTACAAAGGGCTAATCAACCCAAAAACAGGGTAAATGCGACAGATTACGATCTCAATTTGGAAAATGGGGCCGTCATATGACCTTCAAAGATATCTACTCTCTTCTGTAATCGACCCTTGGCAACTCGTGCATCAGCTTTAACCAGTTCCAGAACGCTGGCAAGCTCTCGGTTCGTGACCGTATCGAACAACGAAGGCTCGGTTGACTCATCCTCCATTGAGTTCAGTCTTCCCCCAACTGCGCCGGTGTCTCTGTTGAGAACGTTGTCCCGATGGGGAAGGGGGGCCTTGTTTCCGTAGTTCCCCCCTTCCCCAACGACCCTTCTGCTTTGGAAATTTTAATCACTTAGGATACTTCAACTTCGATTGTACTCCAACTGAGGTTTTATTAATTCTTCGGAGGAAAACGGCTCTAGCTAATTATGATTTTTATATTTGAAAGAGGGGGGCCTTGTTATCTGCCACGACGCACTTAGAGAGAATTAGCTGAAAACAACAACATAACCACGGTGGCCGCTATTCTTGGTCCAATTCCTGGAATAGTATATCACAAACAGAGGAATGTTGCTTATAGCTCGGATCAACACAGGTCTGTCACAAATGGCATCCATGCAAGCTATAGCATATGTGACTACGTTCTATTCACTCTAGCTTTATGGGAATCTTTGTGGATTGACCATTTACAGTACCAAGCCCCTAATTTACTGCACAAGAGAGAGCATATCATAATTGATGGAGATGCTGGGGAACGGCCAGTTTCCACGCCATCATCAAGTAAAATAAACAAAGGTTGCCCCATTCGGTGTTACGTTCTCAGAGGGGAGATGTTCTTTCCGGACGAAATCAGACATTATGCCGATCTTCATTTAGTTGCAGGCGAATCTTGCGGTAGTAGAGATGCAAGCAAACTAAATGAGCGTTGATTATGACCAAGATCAGAGTATACGATCAGGAGCATACAAGGATATAATCTTGGCACTGGAAAACGTAGATGAGATGTTCAGAAGCGCAGGCATTTCACAAGTTGCAGGGAATAAACGGTCGTTTTGAAATAAAATTTGGCGTTTGTCAAGAAAGTCGCCGGCACGATGTCGCATTTCTTTCGGCACAGAAGACATGATGAAAAGACCGATTGCGAGTCATAGTGTGAGGCAAATCATACTTGCGCACCAACCTTTTTCTTTTCCAAAGAAGGCCAGGACTAGATGTGCGATAATTTCCGGATCAGTTTCCGCAGCAAAGTCCGGCATCAAGTAAGTGAATCTCTGCGCCCGGTAAGTCCCTATAAAAGGATGCACGCCGGCAACAGAAAATATAGGGTCATTTGACCCCACACTGCCTAAAAGTGGGACCTGAGTCCGACGAAATATTTTGGAACTCGGGATAAAGTTTCACATTGTTTCCATAATCTTTGAAAAGATCCCAGCTGAATATCTGCATTGCCGGGACGTTGCAGGGAGAACATAATCCTACACCAGTATGACTCTGGCATGATCTTATGTAGGTCCGTACTTCCCTCTTCATACTGCCACTGGTGGCCTCGAAGTCAGCTTAGGCTTGTTTCAGTTTTGATCTTATGTTGGAAGAGTTGCCACTGGACCAATAGTCTTCAGTCGGGTCCCAAAATGACCCCAGGCCTTCTTCGTACGCATTACCGCTCTGGGTGACGATTGCCGTTATGGCATTTGGCCGTTTTAATGCGATACGCAGAGCAACAGGCGCCCCATAGTCAAATATATATACGCAAACTTGGAAATGGACAATGCATCCAAGAATTCCGCAATAGTATCAGCTAATGGGCAAAACTGTACTTGAACTCGGACAGCGCCTCTGTGAAACCGAAGCCGGGAAGATCGGGCGCAATCAGTCGGTTTTTTTGCGATAAGAGTGGTATTAATTTGCGATACTGGTGGGAAGAAGATGGAAAGCCATGAAGCATGAGGAGAACGGGTGACGTGGCAAGCCCCTGTTCGCGATAGAAGAGCTTCACGTTCGAGGAAGGGAGGTGGAGATGAGTGACTCGCATGGCCATGGCGAAAAAGGAATGATGAGGAGTATTGTTGGATACTCAGAAAATATATCCGAGAAGGCCGTCTATTAATAGTGAGCATTCTGACGAAGCATGTTTGGATTACACTAGACTGCGGAAGTTACGTACTGCATGATAAATAATTAGAGCTACAGTGCGGTCAGGCGTTAGATAGCCCTAATGGCACTGTTCAAGTACGGTAATTTGGGTTGCGGAAGGCAGCGGACGATCTAGCACAGCGTCAATAGCTTTAGGGGCTTGAAAATACATTTTCAATTAACTTAACTTAACTAGTTAATTAGTTAACTAGCTTACTCATATTACATAATTTGTGGCGTCCTCAAATCAGAATGCCAAAAATCATTACAACACTTCTACATAGATAGCTTAATTAGAACTCAGACATTCCGGGTGACCTCCGGATTGGGATCATTGGTTGCATTTGGGTACTAGCGTATACCAGAATTCTCGCTTCCCACCAAGACTGGTCTCAAGAATGAGTATTTACAGTAATTGACTTTGACTCTTATTGCTAAATCACGTAAGTTTTTCACAAAGATGAGTAATCAATTCAATTTGGATGTCCCAACTCTTCGAATTCTAATCCGCTAGCTTATCGCACTTGATCCGCGCTCTCTATGCTTCCGGCTTTACTGCAATAAATACAGCCATTAGAATGCTGTTTCGTAGTGTTCAGCTACTCCAGAACGTAAAAATTAAAAATTGTAATTTTTCTATATATTTGTCATTTCGGTTTTAATTGTTTTGCATTACTAAGTAATTTATCAAATCACCAGTTGTCTTACCAATGAGGATATTAATAATTTGACAATGTCAGATGTTTCTCCAGGTATTAGCGGTTGCGAACAGGGATGTCATTAAGCTGCTGAACCTGGATGCATAAGCTGTCTTCTCTAAGGAAACGAATATCTGAAATCTGAAATACATACATGACGAAGACGTGCCCTAATTACATTGTTTCCTGTTTGGTTACAGAAGTCTCTTCATAGCACTTTAGCTAATATGTGGATTGCAGTGGCCTCAAATGATCAATGGCGATCAAATAGCTGACCAATTTTACAATACCCGTTGTACCTATATATTAACCATGTATCTTCCCTCCCGCCCCACGTTGTTATCTTCATACTCCAGTGTTAAACATTGCCCTCGCAAAATTCATTTCTATAACTTGTTCGATATCATTCCTTTCGATATGACACCTGAAATCACTCTTTATAGCTGGGCTACTCCCAGCGGGGTTAAAGCTTCGATTGCCCTCGAAGAGCTTGGCCTGGTGTATACGGGAACCGCCCTGTTGATATACGTACTAATGAGCAAAAGAAAGAGTAAGCTTATCGCACATCAAATTCAATAAGCCCAGGGTCTTACGCTTCTTAAAATGTCAAAGATGGTTTCTGAAAATTAATCCGAATGGGCGCATCCCTGCCCTAGAAGACAAGGATGAGCGAGTTTTTGCAAAGTGGAACAATCCTGCTCTACCTCACCGACAAGTACGACCTTGAAGGTAAAATCAACTATCGTACCGGAACACCGGAGTACTATGAGCAGCTTGGATGGATTATGTTTCAAGTCGGTGGTATTGGACCAATCCTCGGTATGTTCTGGCACAAAAACAAGAAAAGATATTCTCACAGATTGGTACTTGAAGGGCAATAGTCACGGCTAGCACAAGCTAACCTGTTCGCGCAGGCCAGGCAAATCATTTCGGGGCATGCCATTAGTGAAGTCGGACTCTGCATGCATTGCCGGTCAAGATTACAGTGTGGAAAGGTTTACAAACGAATCAAAGAGACTTCTAACGGTGCTCGAATCTCAATTGGCTGGAAGCCCCTTCCTTGTTGGTACAAAGTACACTATTACGGATATCATAAATTTTACGTGGGTGAGGCGTGTGCCAACCATTCTGGGTGCTGATCTTGCTC